TTTTTTTCATTTATTTATTTTATTATGTGAAAAGTGTGATGTGATTGTAGTTTGTTCAATTGTTTTTTTTTTTAATATGATTGTTGTAATTAGTTAAATGGTTTTTTTTAATGTTATTTAATCTTTTTATTTACTATTTTAATTTTATTTTTGAATTTTTAATATGATTAAAGTTAGATAAATATGAACCCTCACAAAGAGAAAAATGTAATTATAATTATTATAATTTTTTTATTATAATTAGTTGAATGATTCTGTGAAAAATGTGATATGATTGTAGTTTAGTTTAATAATTCTTTTTTTTCATTTATTTATTTTATTATGTGAAAAATGTGATGTGATTGTAGTTTAGTTTAATAATTCTTTTTTTTCATTTATTTATTTTATTATGTGAAAAATGTGATGTGATTGTAGTTTGTTCAATGGCTCTTTTTTTTTTTAATATGATTGTTGTAATTAGTTAAATGGTTTTTTTTAATGTTATTTAATCTTTTTATTTACTATTTTAATTTTATTTTTAATATGATTGAAATTAGATAAATATAAACACCCACAAAGAAAAAAATGTGATTGTAGTTAGTTCAATGGTTTTTTTTTTTTTAATGTGATTGTAGTTAGTCAATGGTTCTTTTTCTCATTTATTCATTTTTGGGTAAATTACATTGACACCCCCTGAGGTTTATATTTATTACAGTTCTTCCCTCACCTTTTGAAAATTACATCACCCTTCCTAAGGTTTAAAGTTTCATTACAGATTGCCCACTGAGGTTTAAAGTTTTATAACAGTTCCCCACCTCACTGTAATGATCATCATACATAAAATTAGATTAACAGTGGGTCAGTGTAATTTCCCAAATGTGAGGGAGGAAACTATAATAAACATAAACCTCAGGGGGTGTTAGTGTAATATACCCTTTATTTTTTGTTGTTATGGAAAAAATGTGATATGATTGTAATTTGTTCAATGGCTCTTTTTTTTTTTAATGTGATTTAATATGGGGTTTCTAACCCCAAGCCCTGTGGGAGCTCCAATATCCCAATCTAAATTTTCTGATTTATTTATTTAAAAAAAAAAAGCTCAGCATTTATTGACTTCTTCCAACCCACTTTTTGACTTCTCCTATATCTACTCCTACGCCCTTTTCAACTTCTCTCATACACTATGGCTAGTGACGAGATTGTTAAATTATTTTTATAAAAAAATCTTAAAAAAATAATTTGTATATTAAAAAAATATCTAAAACAAACATAAATTCTTATTAAATCTATCTATCTATCTATCTATCTCTCTATCTATCTATATCTATATATTAAGGAAAAGGGGGTTTCTAACTCCCAAGCCTTGTGGGAGTTCCAATCTCCCAATCTATATTTCCTGATTTTTTGATTTTAAAAAAAAAATTTAACATTTATTAACTTCTTCCAACCCCAAGCCTTACCCTCATAATAACACTTTAATTCATTAAGAACAAGTATAAATTTTTTTTTTTTGAAATCCAACACATATGAATTTCTTGAAAAGTCTCAACACATATGATTATTATTCCTTATAATAATACTTTAATGCATTAAAAACAAGTATAAAAAAATTTTCTTGAAAAGTCCAACACATATGATTATTATCAAAATATTAAACTTTAATATAATATAATAAAAAAGAAAAGACATTTAATTCCTTGAAAAGTCCAACACACATGATTATTATCAAAATATTAAACTTTAATATAATATAATAAAAAAGAAAAGACATTTAATTCCTTGAAAAGTCCAACACACATGATTATTATCAAAATATTAAACTTTAATATAATATTAAAAAAAGAAAAAAACAAGACATTTAAAATAAAAAAAATAAAACATTTAAAAATCACAATTCACATATATAGATAATTGTAAACACAATCCGTTCATAGCACGAGTGATATGCTAGTCTATACTATATATTAAGCAAAAGAAGGTTTTTAAGCCACAAGCCTTGTGGGAGGTCTAATATCTCAATCATAATTTTCTAATTTTTTCATTTAAAAAAAAAACCTCAGCATTTATTAATTTCTCCAAATCCCCATGTCTTTTAGGAGATTTGGTCAAAACCCCCTCATAATTATTTAATCGTTTTATTTACTATTTTGATGGTTCTTCTTTACAATTATTTTTTTTATTATGGAAAAAATATTATTGTAATTAGATAGTATAAAAATATTTGTGATTTGTATGATTGAAGTTAAATTGACAAGTAATTGACAAGTAATCTACATGCTAAATTGACAAGTAATTATGGGCTAACAAAATTGACAAGTAATCTACATGCTAAATTGAAGATGAAAACTAATGACGAAAATAAATTTTGTTACGAAAGACGTACCTTTTAGTGAAGAAAATAATTTTTCGTCTCCAAATGTACCATTTTTAAAGACAAAAATAAAATTTCGTCACCAATCTGCATACATAATAAAAAAATTAGGTGACGAAATTATTTTTTGGCATTATTTATATATTTTTTGTCACTAAAGATTTTCCCGCTAATTTTTTGGTTGGTGCCAAAATTTTCAGACTTTTGGTGAGGAAAAAATTGGTCACCAATAATAAAATTATTAATGACGAATATATTTTTGTCACCAATAATTTTTAGTATTTTAATATTATTTAGTGAGAAAATTATTTTTGTGACTAATAATTTTATTTTTAGTGAGAAAATAATTTTATCACCAAATAAATGGTTTAGTTGCTAAAGATTTTTAGAGGGAATTGAATATATTGGCGCATAAGATATATAAGTTCTTCTCACACACAGATTCCAAACCTCACCCTACATGACCTCACCTCCCCCTTTCTCTTCTCTCACGCCTCACGCCTCACGACTCACGCCTCTGTGTCTCTTCTCTCTCACGCCTCACGCTGCCCTCCTCTCTGTTACTGGAGCATCACCGCAAGGGTTAGACGAGCACACCGTAAGGGTTAGCACTACCATCGCTTTGTCTCGGGTAGGTATGTCCTTTATTTCACCCTCTCTCTCTTTCTCTCTGTGTGTGTGGGTGTGTGTCTCTGTCTTCCTCTCTATGTCTCCTTCGATTTGGGGCTAATTATTTTCTTCATTTTGCTCACTATTTGAAGAAAATTAAAGAAAATTAAAGAAAATCAGAGAAGAACTTGAATGTATTTGCAATCTGATGCTTGAATGGATAATGATGCTTGACCGAAGCATGAACTCTTAGATATTGCATCTCGTCTGTAGCATATAGTTAGTTATATTCAGTAATGGCAATGTAGAGATTTGGAACAATACAGGCCAAACCCGCTGGTTTTCCCCTTCTGTTCCAATCCTTTTATTGGACTAGGATATGATTTTGAATATTGGTATATTAATTTGGGATTTGATTCCACAGTTTCTTTCTCTTCTGATCTTTTGGTGCTACATCAAGTTTTTTTTTGACCTTTGATAATTGTAACAACCCCCATACTGTTTACTGATTAATGACTGATTGATTACTGATAACCACCGATTACTGTTAAACTGACTGATAATTGAACTGACTAAAAGTACTGAACTGACTGACCGAAATTGAAACTGAATTGAATGAATACATCTGTTTGAATTGCATTTTATCTGTTGACTGTTTGTTTGACCTGTTTGTGTTATATGTTTAAACTGCTATATCTGTTGACTGTTTGTTTGATCTGTTTGTGTTATATGTTTAAACTGCTAATTGAAGGCCTTATCGGCGGCCGAATTAGAAACCGATTAGTGTTTTATGATCCTCATGATTAATTAAAGGTTCGAACCAGGTTCTAAAATTGGAGCTAAAGCTCATTTACTGTGTCAACTTTTCCCCTTCCTCTTGTACTTTACCAAGAAGGGGAAAAAATTTAGAAAGAAGAGAGAATTGTTTTATACTATGCCTTGTTACTCATGCCTTGTGTTTGTCTTTGTTTATATGTTTAGAAGAGAGAATTATTTCAAGATTTGGATCCACTGTTGTCGAACACTTTGGTACTATCATTGCCCTCTTGCAAGTATGCTTTATATTGTTCATAATAATATTTTGTAATCAGTTTTTTGCCCCACAATTGATGTTTGTTGTAGTGTTCTTCATTAATCACTGGCTAATCTGCTTCTCAAAGAACCTACCTTAATTTTCTTTTCCATTCATAATTTATTTTACTAGAAAATGTTGTTTGTCTTAGCTTTTCTTTTGTCTATGAGACATAGGATATGTTCCTTTATAGAGCACAGCAAACAAGGTATATGTTCCACTCTGTCTTGTGGCAGCAAATCGACGGTTTGTGCTATTGCAGCGTTGATTATACTGGTGACCTGTGCATTTATTGTTATATATCTACTGCTGTGCACACGTTTTTGCATTGATCGTGCAAATTCTAAGTTCTACTTGTGTGTTACTTGATTATAGGATATGACTAAGAGATTGAAGTAGTATGTGAACTTGGTGGTGTTGATTTGGTAAAAATTGACGGCCTGATTCCTATAAAAAAATTATTTTTTGGGCCTAATTATGATGATTTGGTAAGTATTTACTATTGCAAATTATGCTTATTTGGATATTTTAATTTACAATTGAATGAATTTGCTTATTGAGCTAGCAGAATTATGTTGAAACATTTCTAACTTGGATGCACTATCTGTACATTGTCATGTATTTTTTTTAGTTGTGGAAATTATTAAATCATATTTTGTTTATAATCAATCATTGAATCTTGAAAGGAAAACAAAGTCCTACAGAACAGGATGTTGTTTTGTTAGAGAATGCACCGAAGTAATGGAAAAGAAACATTGACTTGACTTCAAACTGCTCTTTTCATAGATGACAACACACCACACAATGACAGGAGAAACATTGACTTGACTTCAAACTGCTCTTTGCAAATTAGTTGTTAGTTTGTTAAAGGTTAACTATATTGTTTAGTTAGACAGTTATAGTCAAGTTAGGTAATTATGGTTATGGTTCATTGTTTTTCCCCCAACAATTTTAGCTTCTTTTTTCTATTGACAAATTCGCAGCGGGGGTTCTTCTCTCTCTTTGCTCTATAAATTGCAATTTATGTGCCCTAATTGATTTTTCCTTGTCAAATGCATTTTTGTTCTTTCCAGGTTTCTATTTTAGTGTTAATTCCTCTATTAGTTTCATCCACTAGATCTGTCAATTTAGTTCTGGATTGAAAATCTGGAAAATATTTCAGAAAGGAAATGACATTTTAAAAACTGCATTTTTTCATTTCAATTAATGAAACTAATAGAAGTCACTTCAGTTATGATTTTGTTAGCTTTCTGCAACAAATTAAGCATTCAATGATCATACTGAGAATTCTTAGCAATAAGAATTAGTCCCTTGAGGTAACGGACATTGCTTGTACCTATCATCGTATTCTTGTTCCAAAAACCTTTACTGGTTTTTCTTTTGTGTCTCAAAAGGAAGAAGGAAAGAGAAAACATTCACTATTATCTATTTTTTGATTTTGAGCTTCTTGAGTTCTGAATCCTTCTGTTTATTTTGTTGCTACTAGTTTCATTGATGTCTTTTAATCTAGTACCTCTGTTGTGGTGTTGATGGAAGCAACAGGCCTGGAGATGTTGAATTTTGTTAGAATTTTTGTGTTCTTGACTGACCATTTTGCCCTTGTATTGCCAGCTAGTTTTTGTAGACTTAGTTTTAGCACTTCTAATAAAACATAAATTCTTCTTGATATGGACTGACTAAATTAAGGCCCTAAAATATTATTTCATCGTGTAATATTTTTCAGCCGATCTTTCAAAGGTATCCACGGCCTGAGAAGGAGTACCAGTCCTCTCTTATGTAAAACGACAGGTCACTAGATTTGGTAAGCATCTCATTTGACATATCCATTTCCTTCTTAATTTTCAGTTGCTGCAATGATCTTCCTAAAATACCAATTCTTTTCTGCTATTTTAGAGTAGTTTCCAAATAGATATATATTTTACTCTATTTGTAATTTGGTAAATGACTTTCATTCTAGATTTGTAAAGATAAAGATGAAGCTGAGCAATGGTTTATTGGTTTAAAAGCATTAATTTCGGGTGGTCATCAACGGAAGTGGAGAACGGAAACAAGGAGTGATGGTATTCCATCTGAAGCTAATAGTCCCCGAACATACACTCGAAGAAGTTCTCCTTTGAACTATTCACTTGGTAGCGGTGATAGCTTGTAGAAGGTATAATTTCTAGTTTTGCACACATGCAGAAAGTTCACCGTGAGACACACATAGGCACCTTTATGTAAAAACAAATGCACATGGACATAGTTCTCCTTAAGAATGCTTAAACTGGTCTGCATTTTCCTATAAGTTTTACTTACTATTTTCCTTTTTGGTTTCATTGGTTAAAGCCATATGTTATTAAAGCTTGTGATTTCATTCAATTCAATTGAAAGATTGCTGGCTGTTGCTTTACACTTGGTCCTCATGTTAAAATTAAAGAAAATCAGAGAAGAACTTGAATGTATTTGCAATCTAATGTAATTGCTTTGTTGGACTGAGCTGTGGCTGCAACTGCTGCAACTGTTCTGTTGTTCTGAGCTGTGGCCATGGCTGCAGCTCTACCTTGATGGAGACTGTTCTGTTATGTATGTAAATCTTACTCAACTGTTTGGTCCTTTTTAATTATATAATCATTTTTAATTATATAAATGATGGAGACCATCTTGAGCTTATCTAAAATATTGTGTAATCTAGTCTCAATCGAAAATTTATTTTAGATTATTAAACTTCATTTATTTTGGATCTAATTAATTAAACTATGTTTCATTTGAATTACTTGTTATTGCTATTATGAGAGGGTTGCGAATATTTATAGTGTTTCACAATCAAACGAAATGCATATTTGTGATAAGAAAAATTATATCATTTTATATTATAAAATATTAAGATGATGTTAAAATAAAATTTTAATTAATATATATATATATAAAATAATTATTTTCAGTGATGGTTGTTTCTAGACCCTTCTGGGTGGAACTCTCTTTATCTACGCACCAGTAATTTCTAGGGTTAGGGTTTTTCACGATCCAACTAAGGTTTCAATTCAGAGAGAGAGAGACGAAGAAGCAGAAGAAGAAGACAATAGAAGATTAGCACAGCAATGGGGAGGTACAGAAGCCGAAGCCAAAGCTACGACCCAAGGCGTAGCAAGCGATACCAGGTCTCGCAAAGACCGACGCTCCCCTGCCCCTTCTGGTCTCCTCGTTCGCAACATCTCCCTCAACGCCAGGTCTCTAATCTCTCTCTCTATTTTTTTTTTATCATCCTTCAATCCCTTGATCTATATATATATATATATATTGATATAATTACTACTTTAGTGTGTTGATTTGTGGTTTACGAGTTTGCATTTAAATTTTGGGATGGTTTGATGAGTAAAATCGTTTAGCAATATTGGGCATTTTGATGAATGAGAAGAAATGTTGGCTGGATGTGAACAACCAAATAGGAATTGAATAGATTCACCAACAGTTACAGGGGCTACCTCAAGTATTTGATTCTTTGTTGCTTAGCATTTCATTGTTACGGTTTCTCATGAATTTCTAGTGGGTTTAGCAAAAACTTTTTTGTCCCAATTTATATGAGTTCAATCTAATGTCAATATGATCCATGGCACTGGAGTTCATTTTTTCAATGTTCACAATCGTTATGAACTTAATGGGATTTGCGGTTGTGGGTGTAGGGGATGGGTAGGTTGACATAGGAACCTTATGTAGGAATTGGCAATGGGGCAGGGTCAAAAAGCCTTATGCCTATTGATCCATGTGTCACCTCTTGAGGCTCACACGTGGTTAGAGAACTTGGAGAAGGTGATGTAGTGGTGACATGGTCGAGCCACATGGCAAGTGGAGCCATAGACCCATATGCCCAAATTGTTATTTACTTTTTTTTTGGGTAGGTGAGTTTTTCTTCTAAATATGTAACAAGTATCATTTTAAACCTCGATCTTGTCATTATATGATTGTTTTAAATGTTATTATTCTCTTACACCCTCTTAAAAAAAAAAAAAAAGAAAGAGGAAATCTAATGATTCTACTTGATTCTTTACTGGCCAGAAGATCTTAGAATCTCATTTGAACAATTTGGTTTGATAGAGGATGTTTATCTACCTAAGGATTACTACACTGGGTATGATTATTTTAGCTTTTATATTTCCGTGTGTGTTTTTGTTATGTTGTTTGTTATCAAATATCTAGAAAGTTCTACTTATTCAAATATATATATATATATATATATAAAATAATTATTTTCAGTGATGGTTGTTTCTAGACCCTTCTGGGTGGAACTCTCTTTATCTACGCACCAGTAATTTCTAGGGTTAGGGTTTTTCACGATCCAACTAAGGTTTCAATTCAGAGAGAGAGAGACGAAGAAGCAGAAGAAGAAGACAATAGAAGATTAGCACAGCAATGGGGAGGTACAGAAGCCGAAGCCAAAGCTACGGCCCAAGGCGTAGCAAGCGATACCAGGTCTCGCAAAGACCGACGCTCCCCTGCCCCTTCTGGTCTCCTCGTTCATATGTTTCCTCATTCTCACATATATTGGGTTATCCACTGGTTCATTGGTCAAAATTTTGGTCAAATACTGTGGCAATTTGTTGAATTGATTAAGTTAATTTTTCTTTTTAGTTAATGAAATCTTAGTTTCAAATTCACACCAATTCAGGGTATTAGAATTCATGGCTTGAGGGTCTTCAGTAAGATTTATTTTTTTTAATCTCTTCTAAACTGTTCTATATTTTCTCGTGTTGGTGCGAATAGGTGATGCTTTTGGTGTTGGAAGGACCATATTTTCTTTTAGGTAAGAAATATCCTATTTTTTCTATTTTGCTTTTTTATTTTTTATTTATTTATTTATTTCATCTTGTTTTCCTACCCTTCATAAGCATGGCATTGCTATGAAAAGAGTATAGTTGCCATTCCTGGGATTGAGGTATGGTGCCCGATATGTGTTTGGTATTTTGTGTGATTGAAAAGATTATGTATGTTGCTTGCCATTCATTGATTGAGCCTAAGCCAATGGTTTTGAATATGTTTATTTGATTTCTTAGTTATTGATTTCTTTTTTTCCTTTTTATATTTTTTATTTTTTTTATGTTGCTACAGCATATTTTAGACAACAAAAGAGGGTCCTCTAATGTTATGGCTGGTTCTTGCCGGTGAGAAACCAATTCTTTTTTTTTTTTTTTTGTGAAGAAATTTAAACTCCAAACCACGCTTTCACTGTGCATATTCTTTAAGTTTGTTTTTTGAAGAAAACGTGATTGTGAATCATGCTTTCAATGTTCACTACAAGAAGCGTGGATTGGAACCATGCTTTCACTGGTCATGTAATTTTTTATTTTTTTTATTTTTTTTTCTATTGTCATTGTTTTGGTGATAACGTAATTCATTAAATTTTTTTTTTTCTTTTGTCTTTGTTTTAGGTTAGAAGGTGTAATTCA